TACCCATTGAAGCTTTGTAGTCTTCCTACTTGTTACGTGAAGTTCTTTTATCTCTCATTGGTGTCATTGAAGAAGTCCTTGCTAGTAGTACTTGATCGATATCAATCATCTATTTGATTATTATGTAGCTGGTAACAAGTAATAATCAGTTGGTGTTCGTGACTACAGGCACTTTTACCTCAACCCAACATATCACATATATATACAGCCCGCTATCATCATGCTCCCAAGTGACCTTCAAACATGCCGATGATAAATCACAACTTCGAATTGAATTAACGCACGGAATGACAGTATAGATTTTTGTTTAAAAATATCCTACCATCCTAGATCAATTTAACTATATAGCAAAGAAATTTCTACTCAGACCTTCTCCAAAACAAAACCACTATGACCAGCCTTAATGCATACCAACCACGTGATCCACAATCAAGTCCCGAATGCATAATCTCACTCAGATAATCAATTACTAACTAACCAGATCTCTAATGTAAGAAACCCAAAATAAACTTTTCGCAGGATCCCGAGGATCTGGTAGACTACGACCTGCAAAATGCAAAAAGCAAAGCCGATCACGTTGACTAAGTAGTCAAGTCCCCGAGGCCGAGAGTCCCCACTGCTGGTTGTGTTGATTCCCGAGGACGGCGTCTACTTAGAAGTTACATACCCGCTCCGCTCGGGTGGCTGCCTTGCGGCGATTATGGTTTTGAGTTTCGGTGATTGTTTCATGGGGCATCTAGATACTACGTAGGACGCCGATGTGATCTGATATTCGGACGAGACTGGCGATCATATCGGGGTTCATGGGGCGGAGTATTATTCCGGCTTAAATATATTACTTTTTGTTCCATGCTACGGTGTGATTGATAATCTTTTGGAAGTGATGTGAACGCTGAAAAAGATGCTTGGTATTTGGTCACACTAAATGTATATCTTTTATGGTCGCTTCCATTACATACTAGTGACTTATTAGTACTGTGTATATTAAAGCGGAAATGAGGTTTGACATACCGGTTGACAGGGCTGAGACCCAGGATGCGCATACCGTTGTGCAGCACCTGGCGGGCGGACTCGTACAGAGCCATACGGGCCTTCTTGAGCTCGGGCTCGCTACCAACAACCTTGAGCACATCGTAGCTGGAGCTGAGCACGTGGGTCATGCGGAACAGGTAGGTGAGGATGGTAGTGGGCTCCAGGGTACGGTTGGTGTTAAGCAGCACATCGGGCCACTGGGCGAGGAGACGAGCAAGGTCGGTGGCGTGGGTCTCGGTCAGGAGGCTCAGGTTGGCCGTGTCGAGCTCGTCGACGTTCAGGCCGGACTTGCGCACAATGGAGCAGAGACGGGCGTGGGCGTATTGCAGGTAGGGACCGGTGTCACCCTCGAACGAGGTCATGGCATCCAAGTTGAAGTCGTATCCGTTGATACTGCGAATTCATTAGCATTTGAGGGCTATCATGGGGGAAGGGGTATACGTACCGCTTTCCGGTCATGTCCTGCACCATGACGGAGGACATACCGAGGATGTCGGCAGTGCCCTCAGGGTCGGCGACCTGCTCGTACTTCTCGGTGTTCTTCTTCATGACTTCGTGCATCTTGTCACGGACATCCTGGAGGATGTCGTCCAAGAACTTGACGGTACCCTTACGGGTGCTCATACCGCGCACCATACCGAAGTTGATGTGCTGGCAGCGGTTGGCCAGATCCTTGTAGCCCATGAGTTCAGTGATCTTGAAGAGCTGAGCCAAGTGGAGATCCTGCTGAGCGGCAACGACGTAGATCATCTTGTCGAACTTGTAGGCCTCCTCACGCTCGAGGATGGCTCCGATATCACGGGTCAGGTAGAGAGGGGTGCCGTCCTTGCGGACAATGATGGCCTTTCCAAGCTTCTTGGCACCGTGCTTGGTGAAGTCGACGATGACAGCACCCTCGGACTTCTCGGACACGCCGGCCTTCTCCATGGTTTGGTAAGCGGAGGTCATGCTCTCCTGCTTGATCTGAGACTCTCCAGAGTAGACGTCGAAGTCAATGTTCAGACGAGCATAAGTCTGTCTGTACTTCTCGATACTGAGCTCACGGAACCGGCGCCAGAGAGCAAGAGCCTCCTGGTTACCATCCTCCATGCTCTTGAAGTAGCGGCGAGCGTTCTCGTCCTCGCTGGCATCGACAAGCTTGGCAAGCTCCTTCTCCTGCTCGGCGGCGTCCTCACCCTTCTCCTTCTTGGCCTTGATCTGCTCCTTGAGCTCCTTGATGGGGCCCTCCTGCTCGGAGACGATGCCGTTGATCTTGACGTAGACGTTGAACAGGTGGTTGATGGGGTCCTTGGTCAGCTCCTCCTCGCTGCCGAACATCTTGAAACCATTGGCAAGCAGACCGTACTGCTTACCCCAGTCACCAAGGTAGTTCATCTTGATGACGTCCCATCCCATGACCGTGTAAAGGTTGGCGAGGAAACCACCAATGATGGTACTGCGCAAGTGACCAGCGTGGAAGGGCTTAGCGATGTTGGGAGACGAGAACTCGACGATGATGCGCTTGCGACCCTTGGAGGGGTCGGCGGGGTCGCGCAGACCAACGTTGCCATTGGTACCAAAGGCAGACTTCTCCTTCAAGATACGGCTAACGACGTTCTTGGTGAGGCGCTCCGGGCGGAAGAAGAACTGCATGTGAGGGCCGAAGGCGACGGGGGGAAGGATGAGGTCGGACTCGGGGAACTTCTCGACGAGTTCCTTGCACAGCTCCTGGGGGTTCTTCTTGATCTGAAGGGAGGGGACCTAGAGATAACATACTCTTTTAGTTGGTGTCAAGTGGCCCAATGGAACTAATCCAATTGTAATTTTTATGGTCGCGTACCGGCAACACCAGGTCACCCTTGTCCAACGAATTCGTCCATGCGATGCGGGAGAAGATCTTCTCCGCGTCCAAGCCGGTGATCTTGGCCAGCTCCTCGGCAATGTGCTCTCTGTAGACGTCGACGGGGTTCAGGGAGGGGAAGCAGTTGGGGAACTTGGAGGTCTCGGAGGTCGACTGAATAGAGAGTCCCTCAACGGAGACAGCGAGGTCGGAGGCGGACGTCATGGCGGCAGCTTTGTTCTTCAAAAGCGACGCAGAGGAAAAAGACGAGCGCCAGGGATTTAAAAGAGGCGAAGAAAAAGCACCGCGGGCGCAGGAACAGCGACTATTTTGTGTGTAGTATGAGCGGACAGACTGGAAAATGCCGCTGGAAAATCGGCGTGCCCCGCTTACCAGATGGCGACCCATAAATGGAGGGGAATCGAGAGCCTCGCTTTGGAGGGGGACTTTTTTTTCTTTGCTCTTTAGCCTCCATTCGGCAATCGCCCATACTGCCCGGGCGGTGAGTACTCCCTCATGACTCATCGAATTTAGTCACGTGAAACCAGATCATCTGACTACTGCTAACCCTGATCTCTCCTCTTCCCTCTCAAATCCTCATGTATGTCATGTGAGCGGATATGAGACCACTCCCCTTCTCTGACGTCACGGTTCTCTGCAGCGCCAGCAACGCAACCTCGTGTCCCAAACCTGGCCATTCTTCTTTTTATTCCATATTAAGCCCCCAAACAGCCATGTGCCTCCGTCAACGATCTATTCTATTCTCTGTCTTCAGTATCCTCCGCGACCATGGGTAGTAGTCGTCGTCAAAAGGCCCTATCCAAGTCTATCCAACTCGCGCTATTCCGCGACCCAGCCACCTTTCGCAAGACCCTCATAGGGCGCATCCTAGCCTTCTTCAGCATATTCTACATCAAGCTTTTTCGATATGGGAGCCATCTGTTTCGAAAGCTGCGCAGCGAGACATGGGAGATCGACGAGAACGAGTACAAGGCGAGCTTCCGAGATGAGAAGAAGACTGTCCCATTGAAGCCAATGGGCGATCTTGGAATGTCAGGATCGGTATGAACACAATCAGAAGGCCACGTAAAAGTCTGGGTACTGATTGAATGCTTTGATAGACCTTCTTCCAGACCTCCAATGGCAAGTTTCTCGTCAAGAGCCTCCCCAGGCACTTTGAACATTCCTTCTTCCGTGAGGATCTGCTCGAGCCATACTACGAATATATGAGTGCCCATCGCGATTCCTTATTAGTCTGGATTACCGACTATGTATATGCACCATATCAGACGGTCGGGAGCCTGATAGGGTCCACGCCAGCCCATCACATCATCATGGATAATATTTTGTACGGGAAAACCGAAGACCCAAACGCCAATCAATGGGAGAAATACGATCTTAAGCCCATTGACTATTTCTATCCAGAGCGGGACTTGGTGCCCGAACCACTGGTCAGCGAAGATACACTGCGGAAGCTTGCTGATCAATTTGACGACAAGATCCGCCTGTCGCAAAAACAATACGAGTCCCTGAAGCAAGTCTTGGAAACGGACACGGACTTTCTCCGCTCGTCCAATGCAGTTGATTACTCTCTTTTCCTCGTACGGTTTCCGGCCTCCTCGCAGCCTGAGGTTGTTGGTAGGCATGCTCCGTGGCGCATCGGCGTAGAGTCTGCAGATGGCAAATGGAAGTATCGTGCCGTGTTGTTGGATTTCTTCTGGGCAAAACACAAATTGCACGCCCAAGCCATGACAGGGGTCATTCAGACATTCAATGTCATTGGTCGCCAGGGGCCCATGACAATTACGACGACGGCCGACGAATACCAACAGAAGTTTCTGGCTATGGTGGATTCGATGGTGGAAGTACAGCAGTCCTGATAGACGTAATCATACAATACCTAAAGATGTTGTTTGACGCACGTGCGCTCTGCGATTAATATCAAGTGACATGTATGTTGTATCCGAAATGGAAATTCTTGGTCTTCTCGCATTGACTCATGACACCGTTTATCAAGCACCCAGATGACCAACGGTCGGCCCGTAGCGGGCTTTTCTATCGACAATCTATCAATTACCGGAATCTGTGAGGCAGAGACAGTCTATGTCATCTGCCTATTCGCTCAAAGAAGTCATCTCCCATTGCTGCCTTAGAAGCAGAAGATCTGGTCCTCGAGCTTGCTGACGGGGCGAGCCTTGGTGTAACCGAGAGACTCGGTAGCCTTCTTCATGGCGCTAACCATGGGAGGAGGACCGCAGAGCAGAATCTTGATGTCGCTAGCGGGGGCAGGAAGGCGCTCCTATAGGGTTTGGTTAGTGGGACGTGCCGGAAGACACTAAATTGGAGATTCAACAAACCTTGATCATGTCAGGGGTGACGAAACCAACACCACCGGTCCAGCCCTCAGGGGGGTTGTTGAGGACGTAGTAGATGCGGAAGCCGTCGTCCTCCTTGGCCAGCTGCTCGAGCTCTTCCTTCATGAGGATATCGTCGGGGTTCACGTTGGCGAAGATCAAGTCAACCTGGGTGGTGTCGTTTCCACCGTTACGGGGACGGTTGCGGATGATAGCCTTGATGATCTGGTACATGGGGGTGATGCCAGTACCACCGGCAATCATACCAATGTGACGGCACATGTTGGGAGTGTACACCATGGCGCCCTTGGGGCCACGGACCTTCATGGTCTGACCGACCTCCAGGGTGGTCAAGTACTTGGAGATGTTACCCTGGGGGTAGGCCTTGACGAGGAGATCGAAGTAGCCAGCCTCGTTGTCGGAGGAGATGGGGGTGTAGGAGCGGACAACCTCCTTACCGCCAATGGTGGCGGCAAGCGAGATGTGCTGACCGATGGGCAGACCCAGGATATCGGTAGGACGGGGCAAGGCGAAACGGTAGACAGTGACATTGTGGGAGATGTCGTTCTTCTCCTTCAGGGTGAAGTGCTGGAAATCACCGGGGTTGAGGACCTTTCTGGGCTCTAAAGAAATTGTTGAGACATGTCAGAAGACCGCAAGTAAAGTCATACGATTAGCGACTCCTGTACGTACTGTTGCTGAAGATCTTCCAGCCGACCAAGACCGCGGCCAGAGCGACGGCAAAGGGGGTCAATTCCTGCTTGAAGAAGAAAGTTCCGGCGACAAAGAGGGCCGAGGGGATGAAGGCCCCGGTGATGTTGTCGGGTGAGAAAGCACTGTTTTGCGACAAACGACTTTTGTTAGCCCCCCGTCAATCGCGGAGCGAGTAGCACGCGCACATACCTCATATTGGCAATTACTCCAGCAACCCCTAGGGAACTTGAAAACGAATAGAAAACAGAAAAGAAGAAAGGGGGAGGAATGAGAGGGGGAGAGGGAAGAGGAGGAGGAGGGAGAGGCAAGTAATGAGAGGGAGAGGATGTGAGGAGATGAGGAGAGAGTCGGGTTTTGTGACGGTAATTTTCGGTGTCGGTCACGGGAAGACAGTCCCGATCGGGCCACTGAATCGGCTTATCGATAAGTTTGTTGAGGCAAAATCAATTGATTATCGATGGAGATAATGATTAAAGTACAAGAGAAGGAATATGAACTCCTGTCATGAGTTGATTATAACAAAGATTACCAGAGAACAATTGACAAATATCATGGCAATATTAATTACACCTCCGACGTGCGGAGAGTCTCACCCAGTCAGCATGTGAACAAGCCAACTCATATAGTGCGCGGAATCAGTCCCGTTGGGGATTTGCTTTCCTGGGGTAACCATTCCCGTCTTCGTTCACAATTCCCTCGCTGTTCTTCCTTTTTCCTATCTAGACAAATAATTCCGTCCTTCTTAGCTAGCTCAACTGATCCTTCCGTGGAGCCCATCGACTGTCCGCTAGTCTAGTCAATCCTTCTTGCACACAGTCTCATAGACACATCTAAACCCGCCGACAAAAAGCCATGACTTCCGAGGAACCTCCGGCCTTCAACCTGACCGAGGTTGATCGTCAAGTCCTCGCGCAGACCGACGAGGAGTTTGTGCTTCATGACTGGGAGGATCTCAAGTCCATCATCGGTAGGTGATTTACACAATTCAAAATCTCCCTTGGATGGTTATACATACAGTAGAGTGAGAGGCAAAGAGATAGGAAGAGAGAACTACTAACTCCTACTATCCTACCCCTCACATGCTCACCTTCCTCCCCCGCGCCCTCCTACCATCCATCCATCCATCCATTCCTCGAATCCATCTCGATCATTCCATCCATCCATCAACCAAAACCCAATGGTTCCGCATTCCAGTCCCTGACTCTAAACTCTCTCTTCCCCTTTACCCCGCAACCCAACCCAACCCTCCCTACCTATTCCTCCTACTCCTAACTAACCCGATCCCCCAGCACGCAACGATCTCGGCATCCTAAAACGGAAACCCTCCGATCTAACCCGTTACCTATCCTGGTCGCATAAAACCAAGCAACAATACGGCTCTATCACAAACTACATCTGTCAGAAGCGTCTAGGCTGGACTGATACTATCCCCTCTTCCCCATCTTCATCATCCACTATCACCACCCCATCCACATCCACCCCAACTTCCACCACCACCACAAGCACAGAAACCACCACCTTCCCCTACAAAAACCCCATCCCGTTCGCAGAACCATCCGATTACAAGATCCTGCGTAATGACTGGCCCTACGGTCTCGCGCCGGGGATCTCGCATATTGTAGTGTGGTTGCGGACCCCTGTGGCCGTCAAGGAAGAGAACGGGGACGTGACGGATGAGTCGCGGGCGTTGATCGAGGCGTTTGTGCAAAGGACGTTTGTGGATGCGGTGGTGAGAGATGAAGGGGTGAGTGAGGCGGAGGCCAGGGATCGCGTGCTGTGGTTTAAGAACTGGGCGGCGTTGCAGAGTGTGAGGAGTTTGGAACATGTTCATGTTTTGGTGAGGGATGTGTCGGAGAGGTTGTTGGTTGAGTGGACCGGGGAGGAGGGGGTCAAGCGGTAATTCTTTTGCAGTTGATGTGAGGATTTGATATACAGGATGGGGGTAATTAAGACACAGATAGATGAGTGGAGGAGCGAAGACATCATTTACGAGATAGATCACGACAGACGCAATTGGACAAATCGCCAATAGAACTTGGAAAGAAGAACATAAGATTGGGAATCTCGAATCAATCGAAAAAGAAATCGACCGGACCTGTAGCGTACATAAAAAGAGGCAGCAGTATAAACTAAGAAAGACTAGATAAAAACAAATAAGAAGCCCATCAGATCATATACGCCTGCTACCCAACATCCCAGGTCATCATTAAAGCAGCACATCAGTCCGAACTACCACGGCGTTATTTTCACGACTTCTGCTCCTCCACGAACTTCAAGGCTTCCTCTCTCGACACAACGTCGATCGTACTAGCCTTCTGCCGGAAGCTGACACCGTAGCACTTCTCGGCCACGTGCAACATCTCGGGTCGGAAAGTGGTGCAGATGAATTGGCCGTTGGTCGAGTCGGAGATGGACTTGAGCATCTGAGCAACGGCAGTTCGGTACTGGGCGTCGAGGTTGGCGTCGATCTCGTCGAACAGGTAGAAGGGGGCGGGATCGCAGGCTTGGATGGCGAAGACTAGGGCGAGGGCGCAAAGACCTAGTGATGGGTTAGTAAGGGAGGATTGATCAATATATAAACGGTGAGCACTCACTCTTTTGTCCACCACTGAGCTGCTGGATACGCTGCTGTTCATCATGTTTGCTGTTGAAACTGACGCTGATGCCAACTCCGACATAGTTCTCGACGCTCTCGCGAGCCTCCTCGTCCTCGGAGTCGACTTCGTCGGGTTGCCGAAGAGCGCGGTCAGTCTTACGCTGGATGATCAGACGTCCACGGCCAGCGGGGACGAGCTTCTCGAAGACATTGGCAAACTCGCGGGAGACCTGCTTGAAGGTTCGTTCGATGGCCTCGTCCTTGCGCTGGTCGAGCACGTTGATGAGGTCGTCGATGGATTTCTCGGAAGCTTCGAGTTCTTCTCTTCGGCTTGTCAGCGCCTCTCGCTGCTTGGTGAAGTTGTTGTATTGCTCAAACGCCTTCTTGTTGACATGGGAGTACTTCTTGAGACTCTCATTGACCTTGTGAAGCTTCTTGACCACGGCGTTGGAATCCGTGTTCTTGTACTTGGTAAAAGCCTCGTCTGGGAGGACTCCCAGGTCACGGATATTAGAAGCGCACTCGGCGGCTTGCTTCGTCAAGGCAGCCTTCTTCTGCATGCTCTTCTCCATGCGTCGCTGGTGCTTCTCGATGGACTTGGCCAGTTCTTCCAGCTCTCGCCGTGTCTCCGCATTCCTCTGTTGCAGGTCGCCCACGCGAGCGTTGGCCTGATCGATGGACTCGTCAACCTGCTGGAGACGCTGACCGAGTTTCTCCAGGGCCTTGTGAAGGCGCTTCATTTCGCGCTGTGTCTCCTTCAGGTTGCCTTGGCTGTCGTCGTCTGCCAAGTCCATGTCCTGGCCGACAAGCTGGTCAAGGCGCGGGTTCAGGTTCTCGCGCAATTCGACCTCGAGGATGGATTTTCTTCCCTCGAGCTCACTGCGCTGACTGGAAAGCTCCTGGTACTGTCGCCGGAGATCTTGAGCTGTGTTGTTGAGCTCCTCTAAGCGCGCCTCTTCTTCATTGCTGAGCGCTTTCTGGAAAGGCGACGACAGCTCCGCCTCGAACGCGCCAACTTGGTCAGTCACCGCTGCCAGATTGCCTTCGATGTTGCGAAGCGCCCGTCGCTTCGCATCAAGGTTGTCATTCTTCTTCTGCAGAAGGTCGCGCTTGGCCCGTAGCTCTTGTCGCATAGGACCACTGCTGTTTTGCACCTGGTGTCTCTGTTGTTCCAGCTTCTGCAGCTCGCCGACCGATCTTGTGATGAGCTGGTCCAGCTGCTCGAGCTCCTTTCGAATCTCAGAACCACGGTTCCTCTTGGTCTCATACTCATCCCTCCACTTGGTCAGGTTCTTCACTGCATCGAGGCGGGACTGTCGTGAATCGTGGAAACCACCGGTAAGGGCACCTCTCTTATCCGAACGGTCTCCCTCGGGAGTGATCGCATTGACACCGTGACTGCGGGCATATTGAGAGGCGACTTGAAGGTTCGGGCAGATGATGGTCTTTCCAAACACGTGAACAAATGCCTTCTCATATTTGGAGTCGTACTGAAGCTTCTCGATCATAGGAATTGTGTCACTTGCCCTGGGCATGTTGATGGGTCTGGATCGTAGTCTGTTCAAGGGCATGAATGTAACTCTGCCAGCCTTCTCCTGCTGGAGGATTTCGAGCACTTTTGTGGCGGTTTCATCCGTGTCGACGACATAGTGGAACAGACTCTGGCCCGCTGTGACCTCGACAGAGGTCCGGTACCTATCACTAACTTCGAACAGCTCCGCTAGCGTGCCATACACTCCCTCGAGGTTGTACTGGCGCTTGATTCTCCGGACAGCAGCAATGCCACGGCTCGTATTGTGGTCCATCATCTGGGACAGATTGCGCTCGGCACGCTCCACTTCGTGGGAGGCATTCGACAAGATCGAATCCAGCTTGGCTTCTTCTCTCCACAACTCCCTAGCATATCGTCAGCTAGTCAAGTTCATGGCCTAGTGAACGGTTACAGCAGCACGGAATACATACTTTCTCTGATCCATCAGCCGGTCTCTCTCATCCTTCGCAGATTGAACTTGCTGCTCGACAGAGTGGATCGTGTCGCCTCTACCATCAATCTGCTTGCGCAAGCGCTCGCTCTCCGGCTCTAGAAGTGCTATGTCATTTTCGAGTTCCTTGATATCCTCCTGGGTCTGTGCCAAAACACCCTGGACAGAAGTGATAGAAGCGTAGTTATCCTTGATCGCTGCTTGCAGCCACTTGTCGCGCTCACTCTTGTTACGGAAGCGAGAATTACGACCTTGCTTGGCATATAGTCGCTGACGGGCGGTCTCTGCCTCGGTAAGCTGCGTCTTGACAGTATCCTCCTGATCCTTGGCGGCGTTGAACTGGGGCATCAATTGCTGCAGCTCTTGCTCACGTTCCTGGATGGCACTCTGAACGGCCTTCAGGTCTTCGTCGCGACGTAGCTTCGAGGCTTGAGCGGCGACTTGATTGTCCGATTGTGATTTTGCCTGCAGTTCCACTTGTGCAAGGGCCTTGGAGGCCTCACGACGCTCATCCTCCAGCTGTGCCTTGTCCACTTTCAGGAACTCAATCTGCTGCTTGCACTCGGCAATTTCAGCATCGATCTGGGCCATTTCCTTCTCTCCTTGGATGAAGCGGTCACGGTTAAGATCCGTGTCCTCGACGCCGGTTTGACGCTGTTCTTCAAGACTGTCCAAGAAACTGGAGATTTCTTGCTGTTCGCGAGAGTAGATTGTGTATTCCAAGCATCTGCGCTCCTTGTCCTTATCCTGGTAGTTTCGCAACTCGTCCTTTTCTTCTTCCAGCTCCGCAAGACGCTCGTTGATGAAGTCCAGTAACTCGTCAATTTTGGATCGCTTGTTGTTCGTTTCGTGCATAATCTTCAATGACTCCGCGCGGCGCGCTTCATATACCTGAGTTCCCGCGACTTCCTTCAAGAGGTTGAGACGTTCGGAATCCTTCATGTTAGTCAGAGCCGTGACACGACCCTGAGGCACGATGTAGTAGGGGTTCGAACGGGAAAACCCGGCAGATTCGAGCAGGTTCATCACATCGGACTTCGTCGCATTCTTGCGGTCAAGCGTGTATTCATCCTTCTTCAGTCCGATGGTGCGGCGAAGGACCACTTCCGGTTTGCCAGTGGGAAACCGATCGTCAGAGTTGTCAAAGATGATTTCAACGTAAGCCGACATTACAGCGGACCCCGAACCTTCCTATCCTTTTGTAAGCCTCTCAGCATTGGTTCTTGCGACGGGATACGCACGTGAAGAAGGGCCTGGCGTTCCTCTCGGCCCAAGTGGGTGTAAGCATCGCTGAGGACGAAACGAATGGCCGCGAAGAAGTTACTCTTTCCGGAGCCATTGCGACCAACGATGACATTATGCTTCGGGGAGAATGGCTCGATGACCGTCTGGTCCTTGTAGCTGTAGAGCAATTGCAGTCAGCCGGAAGGCGCACTGGAGCATAATGGGTACACTCTTGCAACATACCTTTTAAAGCCTTGGATAATGATCTGTTTAACGTACATCTTGACGAAGCACGCGCGACACGAGGAATCGGGGCAATTACAACAACCCAGTCATCACGCGCCCGAGGCGAAAGATAGCAGAAGCCTAGGCCCTGACTAGACGGAGCAGGGCGGCGAGGTGAATGGATGCGCACGGAGGTTGCTGGGGTCGATGCTTGACATGCGACGAAGCTGACTTTGGGGAGAGCCACGCGTTATCGAGGCGATCAGCTCCGGATCTTTTGCACGCGTTTACTTCCATTTGGGAAGCCCGCGGGGTTCTGCCGGGCGGTGAGCCATATGACTGTCCCACACCCAAAAGGTACCCGTTTTTTTCAGATCAATTGCAAGACTTCGCTTCTACACACATCTGGTTTTCACCCCTTTACATTCAGTCATGGCTGCTCCGAATGCTGACGCGCAAGCGTCCGGCTTGGCTGATGGCCTGAACCCGGCGCATACCTATATCCCCAACCAGGGATATGTCAACCCAGACGGCTCCCTCCCCGCTATGGCGGGGCAAGACTCTGCGGCGCAACAAAATGAAGACGAAGAGGATGACTACTACGATGATATCTTCGAAGAAGAACTCGATGAAGAAGACTTCACCTCATCGAACCCCGCCGACCTAACGAAATCCTACAATCGCCAGCGCAAAACGAACGAGCTCTCTGCGGACCCCAACACTCCCAAGTGGACCTTACCGAAGACGAACACCCAGAAACCGTCTGTCAACACTCGCGCCTCCGTGGACGATCAAGTGAAGTCATTGACGAAGCATGCCGGCAAGATCAAGTTGGACGATATGCAGTCAGGCCTGGCGGCCCGTGGTGATCGGGGTGGTGACAGGGCAGACCGCGCTACCTCCGAGCAGGTGCTGGATCCCCGCACACGTATGATCCTGCTACAGATGATCAACCGAGAGATTGTCTCCGAGATTCACGGATGTCTGTCGACCGGTAAAGAAGCCAACGTCTACTACTCCATCTCGTACCCCGATAACGAAGAGACGCCCCTCCACCGCGCCATTAAGGTCTACAAGACGAGCATCCTGGTCTTCAAGGACAGAGACAAGTATGTCACTGGTGAATTCCGTTT